AGGTCAGGTTGGACGGGGCTCTGAGCAACCTGATCTGGTTGAAGATGTCCCTGCCCACGGCAGGGGGGTTGGACTAGATGACCTTTAGAGGTCCCTTCCAACCCAAACTATCCTATGATTCTATGATTATCTACAGTCTGAGATCCCTCTAAATGGCAGCCCTACCCTCTAGCATATGAACTGCTGCACCCTAATTCAGCATTATCCACAGACTTGCTGAGGGTGCATTCTGTCCCATTAGGTCACTAATAAAAGTGTTAATTAGTATCAGAACTAGCATTGAACCCTGAGGGACACCTCTGGTACCTGGCTACCAGTTAGACTTCGTATTCCTTCTCTCACCTCTTGAACTTCATGGTCTAGACAGCTTTCCACCCATCTGATGGTTCATTTATCCATCCCGCATTTCACTAATTTACCTATAGAGGATATTAAGGGAGACTGTGAGTATATGTAAAAATGAAGCAATGGCATCTGAAGACTTAAAAAGGATTTCCTAGCATGAGGTAGGAGAAGTGTAGGGGTAAATGTGTACTGTTGATAGCTGAGGTGCGTAGGTTTTTTCATTTTCGTTGGTTTTGTAAGAGCAACTGAGGAAGAGAAAGCCCAGGTAGATACTGAGGAATTTGGGAGTGACAGTTTTTATGCAAGCTTAAGTCGTACACAAATAAGGTTGTCTAGGCAGAATTTTTAGGTTAGATACCACCTCACACATTGGAGATGCAACACTGCACACTTGGATGCTGTAAAATTATTCTATTAAATAAATGCTTGTTTAAGAAAAATACCACGTTAAGCATTAGGTGCAACTTTGACTAAAATGCTTTTTTGTCTCAAGAACTCATTCTCTAAAGAGAACTTTTCTCAGGAATCCTTGACATCTTCAGAATGGTTACAGATGTGAAATAGTGTTTTATTTCTAATGTACTAGATGACAAACTTAGGATTGCTCATATCTTTCAACAAGTGCACAAAAAGTCCTTTATGTGTTACTTATACTTAGAGGAGGATGGAAGTATCAGCCATCACATACTACCTTTGGTGAGGAGAAGGGCAGCCCTTTAAGAAAAACAACAAATCAAAACTCTTAAGAGTTTGAGAGCGATGAATTGCCTCTGGAAGTACACAGTGAACCATCAGTAGGGCTACACATTTATAGATACCTTCTTCTATAAAAGGTTCGATTCACATTGAAGTCTGCAGTTCACATCAAAACAATTTATATTTGTTACTTTCCTAAAGGAATAAAGCTGACAAACTTGTAATGGAGTAACAAACACTTATCGGAATACTAAACATCTCTGTGGAGCTTAAAAATGACTACTGCAGTGTGCTTCTACCTGTGATTCAAGTACATGCTCAAGAGCTGTTGTCCCTCTCAGAATTCAGGTTCTTTTCTAGCATGCTAATTACTAGAAAAAGTGCAACCCATGTGTGTGAGTAAACTGGACGAAGTGGCCCGAGTGGCATGATTGTTTCCCAAGCTTACAGAGTAATCTTATTTTTAACTAAATGCTTGCCTTCTCTTCTTCTTACTGTGAATAGCTGCGCATAAAATTTCTAGCGCAGTGAACGACTTGATTTTTGTTGTTCATCACTGTTATGCTAGAATAGAAAGTTGAAGTATACTTCCTAAATAGCATCTCAGCAGTTTTTCCTACAATGTGTAAACTACATTGGTTTGTTTGGGTTTTTTATACCTTACAATTGAAAACAAGTACGTAGTGAATTAGTCTTTTTCCTCCCTTTTGTTTTAACTTCCTAAATGACCACATACAAAGACATGATTTATCTTTAGGTCTCTTTTTGTCCTTCTTAAAATATTGTTGTGGGTGATAGCTCTTTAGCATTTTATTTTTCACTCTGAACTTCTGGTTTTACTTCTGTTTACAGCATTAAGTATGTGTGTACTGATGAACTGCTACTCTTCTAGCAGAAGACTGTCATGTGTAGAGTATTTAATTGATCTTTCCAACAGCCCACATGTTCAAGTAGCCCTTTGACCCTTTCTTTTCCCTCCCTTCATTCTGATCGTTCTCCCATTGTCTTTGAGATTGAATTTTTAATGTGATTACTAGTCTGCATTGAAAGCCAGACAGAACGTAAGAGTCAGATATCGGGATAGGGAAGGAAGAGGCAGAGACAAGAACTGCAGTGGAAAGATAAATTTCTTTGGTGGCAATACATTTCTGCCCTCTATAACAATAGGTATTGTAATAATGATATGTACAAGAAAGACTAATATGGTTTCCCAAGAAGAAAAATACTAAATTTCAAGCATTCATGTATTTAGTAATTTCACTGTCACGCAGTTTTTGTTTCAGAAACTGTAGTCACGTCACAGTACCTTCCTCCTTATACAGGATGGTTGTACCATTACTTGCATATGAGGTAATACCTGATTACTGCAGTGACTAAACATTGCAGATGATTTTGCCAAAATCACAGTGGGGAGGATGCCTTTCTTGTGGAATAACTGTAATACTGATCTAGAGGGAATGTTTGTTCTCAGCGACTTTGCAGCTAGTTTTGTTAAATAAAAAACCAAGTCGTGCAAAACAGCTTTGAAAGGAAGTTAATTTCCTTTCCATTGCTATCCTAGTGTGATAAGTAGGCTCTAATAGCTATAGACTTACGCTACAGGGGTCAAGGAAGGAGAACTGGGAGCAAGCAACTCTAAGTAAAGAGGAGCGCCATTTTAAATTGTCCTTTCTCTATTTTCCTGGTTTCTGAAGCTTACACATTTGCATGCACAGCACATTGGAAGTATACAGACCTACTGTCTGCCATCTTTGCCTGGCACTTACTCTGCTGCGGTTTTTGGATACTCAGAAGCATTCCCTCTGAAATGTAACTGAGGAGTATTACATTTTAGTGCCTTTTTGATTAGTTAAAAAGAAAACCACGATTGTTGTTGGAGGGAGAAATGCAAAATATAGACATTGGTATATCTCTCTTGACAAAATAAATTGGAAATACAAACTAATTTGTTTATGTTGTGACTTGCAGATTAAATAAACTTGAAAATATCATTACATTAGTCAAAGGAAGAATTGAAGAAGTAGATCTGCCTTTGGAAAAAGTGGATGTAATTATATCTGAATGGATGGTAAGGTGCATGAATATTCTTTTCAAGACATAGTTATTTTCAGGAAAAAATGTGTTGTTTTACTTCATTTGAAAAATTATTCTTTAGGCAATGCTATGTTTTCTTTAACCAAAAATTTATCATGCTTGCAACAGTGTCTTTGCCAATGTGGGAGATGGGATGATGTTTCTGATTATGTGGTACTCGGATACAATTCCTGATCCCTGTCGTTCATGCTCTTTCGAGGCAAGATTCTCTAAGTACAGTTGAGCTGTTTTGGGTACAGCAGTAAGTTTCTGTTACGTAGTTAGTGTGCAAATCTACAGAAGTACTCTGTATTCCCGAATAACGCTGCTGTAGCTGCTCAGGTGAAAGTAATGGAGAAATATTGTATTAGTCATCTAGCTAGATTATTCTGATGAGTAAAATACTTTCAGTCTGCAAAGGCAGCTAAAGACTGCTGACTGTGCGGGAAGGGTGATAAGGAGGTGAGGAGCATACACACTGGGAAATCTGCAAATGTATAGGGAGCTTGAAAACAGCGTTACTATTCATGGGGGGTTTTTTAGTGTAAGGATAAAATAACTGATGATAAAAGTATATAATAAAGATGATGGCCAACAGGAAATGCAGTAGGCAGTGTCTAAATAAGCCATTTCCTGGGTTCCATTGGATTTCAGCCGTTGGCCTGTTACCTTTCTTGTGCTGGCTGATGACTGTTACACAGTTGTGCTTGCTACCTGCCATTGGTCCTAATAAAGAAATCCGTCTGAAAAGACCCAGTGCCGGGCTGAACTTCATAGCGACTGAGTAAGTCTGTGCGCTATCAAAAATGTGATAGGAAACACCCCTTGTGACTTTTTTGTGGACTTCTGCTATTCAGTCTCCTCATATCGCAGACCTTCAAAAAGCACTTCAAAATACAGGTTTTTTTCATGCTCGTTCCCACTGTTTGGACTTAAAGAAAAATTCTTTTGTCCTTCAAATTTAAGATCAATAATAAAAACTTATATTCAGAGGGGTTTTTTTTGTTGGTGTGGGTTTTTTTTTTTTTTTAAACAAACTGGCTGTTCTACCATACCAAGGGCCTTTGGGAGAGAGGTCACATGTTCACTATGGATTTGTATGTATCTAAGTAGTTTCCAGGTAAAGGTGGAAATAAATTGTTTGCTTTGTTTTTTCTGTGGGTTTTTTATGTTACATATTTCCATGTGCTGGAAATCTGCAAAAGTTTTTTTTCCACTGCTGTAACGAACGTTATTTGAAGCATGAGTTTAATTTAGTGTTGAGGTCACTAGTTTCAAGGAAGGTTTAAGCCATTGGCTTAAACTAGTGGTTTAAAAATAATGCGTTATGGTTGGTGATTTCTGACAGTATAGTGACTTCATAGAAATGTAATTATAGTTCTTTCAGGGAAACTTGTGATCAGTTGCCTAATACGTGCACTGAGAATAATGTACCCAAAATCACATTTCTCATTCTGGAGCCCAAGATTTGTTTTTAAAAGCAACTTGGGCACTAAGGAGCTTAAGTCATGTTGTAAAATCAGTGCCTCTAAGGTAAAGTACAGGGTTTCGAAAAGCAGCTCCTGTAGGAAATGAAGTACTGAATGTTCCACGTTTCCCATTTGTGTGCTAATTTACCTTTTAATGTCATAATTATATAGCCATGTGCATTTCACTTAATTAGGTAGTCTAAATATTTAGGAATGTTAGCATTTTTATAGGTTGCTGCAATACAGAGATAAAGAGAACAATGCCGTGGAAGTAAGATTGATAGCTGGACAGTGTATGCACTGCTCCAACACTGTCCAGAAAGGAACATTATGTTGCCTAGATGCAAATGAAGATTCCTCTTTGTCTGGCTTTCTGGTGTGAATTTGCTTTTTCTTTTCCTTCCCTACGTGATACTGACCAATGTGAAATCTTTTGTTAATACGTGAATGTAAGTGCTTGAAAATGTTGGAAATGCGAAGCGTGAGAGCAAAAAGGAATGTAGTAGATATCAGTTTTCAGCTCTTTACTTAGAGAATCTGTATGGACTAGCAGGAAAATTCTAATGGGAACAGTGTTTTTTCTTTGTAACAAAAATACGAAAAATTGCTGTTCTGTTTAGAAAACAAACTGCTTTTAGACTAGTAAACATCAAACCCTTTTGCGGAGCCATAGCTTTGTTTTGTTTGCTTGGTACAGAACAGTGCTTAAGACCAGTACACTATAAGCTTTTTTAGAGCTGTGTCTGGAGCATCAGAAAATTAAAAACAAGTGTGAAGCAACAGAATGGAGGCAACAGAGAGGAAAAATACTGCATGCCCCAGGAATGTTTCTAGAACAGGCTGAGAAAGATGGCACATAGACCAGTCTATTGTAAAAGGTACAGTGGTTGAATTATGAGCATCTCCAACGTAATGGCTTCTGATGATCATTCTCTGAACTGTGTAAGTGACCTATGGCTTCCACAAACTGCTTGCTATTCCTACTTCTCTTTCATCTTTAAATTTGTTCCCTTAAAATATGCAAAAATGGGAGAAGCATCTTAAATATTACACAGTGCATAGGGGTGTGTGTATGTGTGTATGTGTGTGTGTATATGTATATAGCCAAATTATATTTCAAATCTATATTTGCTATCTTCCAAGGTAATATTTTTCAGTTTTAAATTCATCTGGATACAGCATTGTCATGTTCCAGGTTTAGAGGCCGAATGATAAGCAACTGTCTTTTCAGTGGCTTTATTTAAGCTTATGAAAGAAATTAGCAGTGATCTTGCTTTTAACGTAGAGACTAAATGCATTGTTTGTGACATCTGAAGTATGCGTGTTTGACACGGTTAAAATCAGACCACAGGCAGGGCATCTGTGTGATTGAGTTTGACTAAAACCAGTATGCAAACCAATGAGAGAGACAGCGGAAGGTGTGACGAGCTGTGAGCTGTTCTGTTGGGGTCCAAAAGGCAGGTTGCTGAAGATTGAGGACTTCAACTCCAACTTCAGTTGGGCTACTGAAGACCCAGATAAAGCCATCTATTCAGACTTTTTTTTACTCTGAAGACAGCTATGCATTCCTTTTAGCAAAACATTGGTGAAGTATGCAGCCTGGCACAAGGACTACTCGTGTGCTGTGAACCAGGAGCACAAGGGAGAGCAGGTGGATCGAAGAGCCGCTTCACGCAATAAACCACGTTGCCTTAGGAAAGAACACAAGAATGGCCAAGTAATAGCCTGTTCTGCTGACCAAACTGATTCTATAAGGAGAAAGTTTTTTCGAGTTCTTGGAGAAAGGTTATTTGAATGTAAGAATGGGTGAATTTTATGCAAGATCTCACTGCTAGCCTTGTTTTTGTAGAGGTTTCCCTGTCCAGGACCGGTTGATACTCTATAGCAGGGCTGTAAGCTTCTGATGCACCATCCTGCTTGCTTGCCTGGAGCTCTGATGTGTGAAACTTTTGAGAGCCTTAATTTGTGAAACTATGAATTATTGTTAGTGGTTACAGGTACCAGCCTCTAACCTTTTTTTACTTGTCTGCTTGTGCTGTAGGACATCTACAAGCAAATCTCTCTTATCTTATTCAAACTGTAGACTTACATGAATTAGGTTTCTAAGCAAAGGTACAAATAATCGAGTATTTGTATACACTGCCTAGTGGCAATCTGATGCAAATGCATTTCTGAACACACATCAGTGATTTGGTGTAACGAATGAAAACCCTTGTCATTTAGTGACGTGACCTGAAAATGGTTTGCAAATGCTCAAATTTCATCAGAAGTTTAGAATTTTGAGTTGAATGTGATGCTGTTTGTACAGGTGGTGGGAAAGTACTCATGAGTTGTATACACCACAGACTTGCTCTCAGTCAGGATCACACTTATGTCCTCTCCCTGGAAATACTGAATTTTAAGAAACAATGATGTTTTATTGTAATTAGAGTAATTTTCCATACAGTATGTAAGTTTGAAATGAGAGCTGCTATGCAAAGTGCTGAAGCTATAGTTTTTGGTTAAATTGAATGCTGGGCAGGAAAAGATTTGCTATAAACATACAAAGGTGGCTGTGTTATTGCACACGGATTTTGGTAGTGTAATTGTAAATTTCATAGGCTGCTTATTGAAAGGATGAGTGCAGAAGGAAAGAAAATGTATGTAATGTTTTTCTGGAATGTTCTTACCCAGCTGCATCTGTGTGCCGATTTTTTTCTCTCGGTATGCTTTTACTTCCTTTCTCTAGCTAAGACTATAAAACTAGAGGTTGAGAGTTTTATTCACTTGAAAAATATCTGCATTTCTTGTTTGTAAGGAGTGTTACTGTGAGAGACAATTGTTAGAGACGGTTGTCTCAAATACAGTGTTCGAGTACAGTGTGTTCTCATAAATTGCTGGTTTATGCAGTGGTTTATGATACTGAATATGCAATAGAGTTTTACACAAGGAAAAACTGGGAAAGAGATGGACTCTCAAAATAAACCACGGATAGAATCCAGTCCTCTTGTCTCTTAATCATATCACTGTGAGAGACAATTGTTAGAGACGGTTGTCTCAAATACAGTGTTCGAGTACAGTGTGTTCTCATAAATTGCTGGTTTATGCAGTGGTTTATGATACTGAATATGCAATAGAGTTTTACACAAGGAAAAACTGGGAAAGAGATGGACTCTCAAAATAAACCACGGATAGAATCCAGTCCTCTTGTCTCTTAATCATATCATTGCTCAGGTAGCTAATATTTTTTTTTCGATTTTTTTCTCTCGGTATGCTTTTACTTCCTTTCTCTAGCTAAGACTATAAAACTAGAGGTTGAGAGTTTTATTCACTTGAAAAATATCTGCATTTCTTGTTTGTAAGGAGTGTTACTGTGAGAGACAATTGTTAGAGACGGTTGTCTCAAATACAGTGTTCGAGTACAGTGTGTTCTCATAAATTGCTGGTTTATGCAGTGGTTTATGATACTGAATATGCAATAGAGTTTTACACAAGGAAAAACTGGGAAAGAGATGGACTCTCAAAATAAACCACGGATAGAATCCAGTCCTCTTGTCTCTTAATCATATCATTGCTCAGGTAGCTAATATCTTTTTTTTTCCTTTTTTTTTTTTTGTGTTAGACAATTTCGAAGTGATGCCAGGATGGGCTGTGAATGGGAGGTGTTCAGGATCTAGGAAAAAGGACTAGGAAGTGAGCATGTCTGAAACACTGGAAACCACCTTTTCTCTCTTCCTCCTTTCCCCTATTTCTATGATGGATATACAGTGATGGAGCTTTTTTAACACTTACTAGTCTTTCTGTAGTCTTAGTATTCCCTACTGTTTCTGTTAGTATTTGGAGGTGCATTAATACAAGCGTTCTATTTCTATAACACAGTAATAATTTATAATTTTATGAAAGAATTGGGCTTTTCTTTTTTGTGTTTTTAATAATGTTGTGTAAAGAGCATACTAAGTAGCAGAATGCTTTAATTTCTTTACAGCAAAATGATTTTTATAAAGGAATTGTATTTCCTTGCGTGAAAACTTTTTTTTCCCCCCACGACACCAATAACGGGCATCACTTCTCTGCTCTTCAGATCTTCCCATTTGGTGTTCTCACTCATCTTACATTTGTTAAAGGACACAACAGAGTGTGCAGAATTAACAAAGTCAAGCTGTGGTTTTGAAACGTGTGGGCTTGCTCTGTCAGTAATGAATTATTTCCTTTTTTAAAAAATTAAATCGTACGTGAGAGATCGGCATGAAGGCTGACTTAGCATGAGGGAAATGGTGCTGCAGCAGAGCATGCAGAAGAGCTTACATGTACCTGCTGCTTCTCATTTAAATGCACCACAGGTTTTGGGGGGATTTTGTCAAGTAAAAAGTAATTTTTCACAAAATTGAGCGAACCACATCAGTTTTGTGCGTCTGTTAATGCAAGATTACATTTTATGTTTTAAATCAGAATCCGTTGTCCAATCTGTTTTACATACCCTCTGTAACTTGTTTTACTCTGTAGTCCAATGGAAACCTTGTAGTCAGAAACTTCAGTTTCAGAAAATACTGCACTTTTTTATACTGATAGGGATTGAAACCAAAAAAGTCCACGCTCTGGGCCAGTGTTTTGATAGCTGCCTTTCAACTCATTAAATATTCAGTGTTGGGTCTTACTGAATCTGGAGTACCAGACCAGGTTCAGTTATGTTACAGAAAATAATAAAATGGATCTTTGATAGAAGGCGGGGGGGAAACGCAGCGCTTACTCAAGTAGTTGAATATTTCTTCTCCAGTCTATCCTTACATGTTTTTTCTGCTGTACTAAGAATTCTGCTAATTCTTGCTATTGTAAACATGCTAATACCACTTTTGGAAATATATATGGCTTTCACCAATAAGTAGAAAATAAGTGAAGGCAAAACCAAGTTCCATTAAGGTATTTGATAGGAACGGCTAAGGGAAATGTACGTGAAGAGGCATTTTTAATCTGAAGTAATTTTTCTTCTGTATTCTCCACACAGTGAGGTATACTTCAGAATTCAGTGTTGTTCTTGTGTCTTGATGCTTTTAAATAGCTTAATTTCTTTTTCTCCATGAAGAATATCATGATGAATACTGAAGCACTAATGTTAAAAGAACTTCCTATACTTCCATTTTGATCGATTGGTAAAGTATTTTTATGTAGCTTTGAATTAAAATGAAAATGAGTATTAGAGTACCCTAGTGCATTTGAATAATAGAGGAATATTTCACAATGCAGGATATTAAGCCATCAAAGTTTTGTGAGCCTTTTATAATTCTGTTACAAACACAAAATACAGATATAAAGGATATATAAGATGTAGCAATATTCACATTCCTCTGGATTCGGATTTGTGAGTGGACTCATCCATTTTTGATAGCTGACTTCTTGGACGGACGTGACGTAGGACAGGTGTGTGCTTGAACAGAGTAACTCCATAGTGCTGTGTATTTCTGTTCCTGTCCAAATCTGTTTATGTGTGTTTTTGTTGTTAGCTGGAGAACAACCATTTCGTTTCAGTTTTGAAAATAGAAAAATAGGGAACTTCATGTTCATTTTGGGAAAGAAATGGCCAGCTTTTTAGTAGAAAACGCATAATATGACAGCATAATATTTAAGATGTGCTGTGTATTCAGTTTGTCTTTAACAGAGAACCTGTCACCTTTTATGTGTCTTAGTTGAGCCGCTAGCAAGATAAAATCATTAATATTTGGCTCACAGATTTGTATCCTAGAGGTCTCTTTGCGGTAATTAATTTTGAGGATGCTAATACACGCTTAAGAAAAAAACAAAACCCTGAGCATTATTGGGGTGGAAGCAAGAGTGCCCCACAGCATCACGGGGAAAAGACGTCAGGTATAATTCTCTTTCCAGATGGCACCCCTACAGGTGAGGCAGCAGCCTGTGAAATTACATTCTAAATTACACTACAGATGAGCACAGCACAGTGAGCAAAACGCTTTGGTATAAGTAATAAATGACTTGATTCAGTACCATTGACGGTTTATGTAGCTTACAGGAATGCTTAATGAATTG